TTCCGTTTCTCCAGTTCCACCGCAGAAGTGTCAACAGCCATCACTGAATTCGTCTGTCAAGCATTGGATAAGAACAGCAAAGCTCGGGCTGTGGCTCTAGACGTCTCAAAGACTTTCGTCAGGGTTTGACATGGAAACCTTCTCATGAAGTTCAAGGGTTAGTGTTTCTGGATAAATATTCGTTCCTATAAAATATTTTAATGAAGGTCGTGTTGAATAGACATGCTTCTAGTTCATATCATATTAACATGTAGGTGTCGCCCAGGGCTCTATCGTCGGACCTACGCGGTTTCTGGTCATCAACGACCTTCTCGGGCAGTTCCCACCTAGGTATCTATGCAGATCTATTTAGATCCATACTTAGTAGTAAGTTCCACAGAATAGAACTAGCAACTCGTCTCCACAAAGACCGCCAACCGGTGGTCACCTGGGGCAGGGAATGGCTTTTAAATTTGAACGCCATCAGAACAAAATTGCTTTTATTTTCTCATCACCGAGAAGCTTTTCTACCTGCCACCAGCATGGCTGATGCTAACCCCCAGGAGAGGAACACTTTGCGCTTTCTTGGGCTCATGTTTTCCAGTGATATGTAGTGACACGTTGAGATTGAATCAATTGATAGTGTGAGGGTCAATTGCTCTCAATAATTTATATTAAACACAATGCCATAAAATAATAAGAAGAAACAAAATAATTCAAACAAGAGTACAAATAAATAGATTTTTATATAACAAATGTAAAAACAATAGTTACGAATGTTCTTTAAAATGGTGAAATAAACTTGTCTTTTTAGATTTTTGTGTGAGGTAATGTTCCAGTTTGATAGACTGCAAGTTGTTGGGTAATTTGTCTGAATTCAGTTCAATGTAATATTGTTTGTATTCAAAATAAACAGTTCAAAGATTGTGGAAAAAGCCAGCGTGATTGTGACTTACGTTGTGCTTCACGTTTGAGTGTCCATCGCTTCGTTGTTTGTCGACGTGAGTTTAGTTTGCATTGAATGAAGGAAATAGATTGTGGTTATGTTAAAAAGGATAGTCTGAACATCAGTTGAAAGTTATTTTATGATGAGTGTCGTCACATAGTTTGTAGCTTTTTCGGCTGATTTGCCTCTCGCTCATCTGTTTCTTAACTGTTTGTTGTTTATATAAGCAATATAAGTCACATGATAGGCTCGAGAAAATGTTTTCAAATTTTAACGCAACTGTACCATCGATCAGGTCAAATTAAGATCAGATGTGCGGACGTAGTCGACGAAATGCCATGTGATATTTTTTAACCAATCAAATTACGCGAGTTGTGTAATTTAATTTGGAGCCTACGTTTTGTTCAATTTTTGAATTTTGAAGAATAATATATGATCTGGATCCTATATTAGGTCAACTTCTGGATTTTTTCCAGACAATTCTTCGTGCACGGTTATAAATCTACCATCCGTCTGTTCATCGAATATTTCTGCAATATCTGGTCTGTTGCTCCTGCTGGACATCACAAGATTCTCAACAAAATCCAAAGATGGTTCTGTAATGTTATCAGTGCTGACCTGGCATCTCGACGTCAGTGACTTTCTCAACGACGTGACATGGCTTCACGCTCTCTTTTCTATAAATATTTTTTATGACATTTGTTCTAACGGCGTTTCCTTCTTATTGCATTGACTGCATTAATTTAATCTTGCTGCTTGATTGGAAGTTAGGTCTCACCGTTTTATTGTTGAATTAGCAAGATACAAACATCTCTTTTATTTAGTTTCTTTTCTCACACATCACACCAATGGAACTCCATTCCGCCATCTTCTATCTTCCTGAAACCTGTTCTTTTATTGTCCTCTCCTCAATTCTCCTCAGTAAAATCTTCTCATTCTCTTTCACTCCCAATAACCCCTTGCGTCTTAGTGGCATTATCACCATCTTTTATTTTCCTTTCTCCTCACTAAAGTTTTCTTATTCTCCTTCACTCCAAGTAACCCCTTGCGTCTTAGTGGCAATAGCGCCATTTTATGTCTCCCTGAATCCTGCTCTTTTATTGTCCTTTCTCCTCACTAAAGACTTCTCATTCTCTTTCAACGTGTAAGCCCCCAGCGTCCCAATGACACTATCGCTATGCTTTGGGTGAAATCATTCAAGGGTAAATTGTTTCAAGATGTGGCGCTAAATTCTTTGCTATAGTTTTCGCTAGTCTATGGGGAGCACTGGAGTGAATTTTGCTATCTGCTTTCTATGTTTACCATAGACCAGAAAGTCTGGATATTTTCGATCAATTTCACCCGTTTTGTCCTCATAATTAAATCATTTGGAACTGATATGATGAATCTGTGTGCCTCTGAAATGATGTTGATTTTATCGATTTTCTTTGTGACGCTGTGAAAGGTTTCCTTTTGTTCTGTCTTAATATCATAGACATTGACCACTTTTGCTTCTGACGAGTAGGGGGTCTGCATTTTGCTCTGTTTTAATATCCTTGGCATTGAGCACTTTTCGTTATTTATCGGTAAGGGGTCTGTCCATTGATCTGTTTTCTTCTCTTCTTGATTTGCTAATTTTCTGTTCTTTTATAATTTCTCTTAATTTATGTTGCTAGTAATTATTATTATTATTATTATTATTATTTTGAGTTTGCTTTTGGTTACCCAGCAGGCATTTCAATTTGTAAGTTAACGGAAAACGAGAATCACGGCAGTGAATTAATGAAATCTCCTGAAGAGTGGACTGAACAATTACGGATAAGTTCGTCTACGTAACTCTAGAATCGAGGTTCTGAATATAACATCAATCATCTAAATGACAAATTTTAATTGTATTGATTTTATATATATATATATATATAATTGTAATTGTATTGATTTTATATATACATATATATATATATATAATCGATACAATTAAAATTTGTCATAGATGATTGATATTATACTCAGAACCTCGATATATATATATATATATATATATATATATATATATATATATATATATATATATCGAGGTTCTATATAACATCAATATATATATATATATATATATATATATATATATATATATATATATATATATAAATAAAAAAAAAAAAAAAAAAAGAGAGAGAAAAAAAAAAGAGACACGGTGGAGTAATGGATAGCGGCTTGGATTGAGGAATCGAAGAGCAGAGTTCGAATTCCAGTCGAATCCAGTTACATTCACTTACGTGCTAATACCCTTGAGAAAGGTGTGAATCCTCCTCTTCTCTTTCCAGCTACGAGTAAATAGCAGGACAGACTGGGTTCTATAGCTTTGGATGGCAACTGGTCTGGGAGAAGCACAACTCTGAATTCAAAACCTGTGGAGGGTCGTTTGGGGACTCTGTAGCACATAGTGTAACAGGTCTCTGTATTCGGCCCTTCAAAAAGTGTGGATGGTCCTGCACGAAACCTTCACCACTATAATCAAATCTCATGTGCTGCTGTCGGTTTCCTGGGAACTGATCTGCTTGACCCTCATACGTCGAATTCGATGTGAGAGTCGAGTATATATATATATATATATATATATATATATATATATATATATATATATATATATATATATATATATATATATATATATAAATGATAGATCGAGAAAATCGTCGAATTCGGACTTCGTTAACCTGACGCTTCTCTGTGACTGAATGGTTAACAGCATGTCAGATGAAATGACAGTTCCCCATAAGGGTTACAGGTTCGATTCCTGTCGGAGAGCGCCTATTTTCTACGAAATTTCCCGAACATTCGAGCCGGAAAATGTAATTAACATTCTTTAATTTAAAAAAGACCATTTTCTTAGATAAGTTACATCTATAAAAATAACGTATAAACAGAGGATGTATATGTTTGTTTGTGTGTGTAAAATTTCAGATATAACTACAAAATTATATAAAAAGGCGATATGAATAAAAGGAAAATAATTATCTTACCCGAAGCGTTTCGTTCTCTCATGGACGATATCATCGACTAAATATCATGGCTAAATTGCCTTGACAATTTACATCAAAATCTTACCGCGAGACATCGACTAAAATAAGTTTTCCTGTTGTCTTTATTCAAATATATTTTTTACTTAAAGGTTATTTTTAGTTGATATACGTATTTTAATAAACTCAACGTTTATTTATTAAATATATTTATGTATTTTCGCCTACCTACCTGAATATTCGAGAAATCTCATGAGAGAAAAATATACGCTCTCCGTCAGGATTCGAACCTGTGTTTCCCCAGGAGAAAACGTCGTTAGATCTGACGTGCTTAACACCTTAACTGTTTACGTTTCAGTTAAGGAAATCAAAGTCAGCAAATACGGGTTTTGAGAAAAATTTGAACAAAAGCTATTTCTTAAGTAGGCCAATTGAAATTTGCATGACTGTGAAAGGCATGTGTGGCTGAGCGGTGGAAAAAGCGCGCCGACCCCTCTAGGGTGGGCCCTGCTAGTGTAGATGGCGTTTGAACAGATGATTCACGCATGAATGAATTTTAGGATATGCCCATATCCTACCAAAGACTTTTCAACGAATCACGTGCAGTTTGTCAGTTTTGAATTTTTTTTTCTTTTTTTTTTTTTTTTTTTTTTTTTTTTTGAAAATGGAGGAAAAGGAGACTCGTTTTCGTTATTTGCTTCCGTTTCCGGAAAAGGAAAAAAAAGGCTGTACAAAAAAAACAAAACAAAAAAAACAAACAAATACGTGTCATTTATGGAGACGTCACTTGTGAAGCTCTACGTAGCCGAGCACTCAAAGCACAACGGATCAGTCACTGATAAGGCGAGTTGGGGAAAGGCTTTTAACGCAGGTTCGAATCCTGCCAGAGAGTACGTTCTCTTTATTATGTCTTCCCGAGTGGGCAGACCGGTAGACGAAATAAACACTGTTTAAAATAACCAGAGTATCTATTCAAATCCGGGTATTCACTAAAATTAACATTTGAAATAGTAAAAATAAACACACAAACACATATAGATATGTATGTATGTATGTATGCATGTATGTATGTATGTATGTATCTATCTATCTATCTATCTATCTATCTATCTATCTATCTGTCTATCTTTCAAAATGTGTCTATTAACTATCTATCTATCTATCACAATATGTCTATGTTTGTCTATCTATCTATCTATCTATCTATCTATCTATCTATCACAATATGTTCATATCTACCTTTGACAACATGTCCATTATCTATCTATCTATCACAATATGTCCATGTCTATCTATCTATACATCACAATATATTCATATCTATCTTTCACAGTATGTTCATATCTATCACAGTCAATTCATATCTATCTGTCTATCTATCTATCTATCTATCTATCTATCTATCTATCTATCTATCTATCTATCTATTACAATGTGTTCATGTCTATCTCTCAATCAATATATCAAAATATGCTCAATATATATCTTTCACAGTATGTTCATATCTATCTATCTTTCACAATATGTTCATTATCTATCTATCTATCCATCTATCTATCTATCTGTCTGTCTGTCTCTCTGTTATATACCGTACCTATGAGCACTAATGCGTATGTCTCAATCCTCATAAATATGTTGGACACTATTGTAAAGGTGGGGGTAATATGTTGTCTAAGTAGCTCACCATTAGCAGTGGTTTACCTACTTCACGTCGCTGGCGAGTATTGTATTTTGTTGATGTTATAAAGATTACCATTTCATTTCCAACCCCCGTTTTGGTTATTCCTAATTCAGTAACCCTTACTAGGTTACAACACTATCTATCTATCTATCTATCTATCTATCTATCTATCTATCTATCTATCTATCTATCTATCTATCTATCTATCTATCTATCCCAACTTCTTCATATCTATGTATCTATCTATCTCAGTCTATTTATATCAATCTGTTTGCCTGTCTGTCCATTAAAACTTCTTCTTCGTAACCCAATGATGTCGTTACCTTCTTCTTATTTCGTTAGGAAAATTATTTCGAAACAAGAAATATAATATTAAAAAAATTAAATAAAGACAGTGACAAATTGTTAGAATTACTCCACCTCTGGGCTGCTGTAAGGCGAGAATCAAGGCATTCAATGACTATTTGTCCGAAGAGTGCTCCCCACCTCCCCACCGAAGCAAGTGCTCCCCACCTCCCCACCGAAGCAAGTGCTCCCCACCTCCCCACCGAAGCAAGTGCTCCCCACCTCCCCACCGAAGCAAGTGCTCCCCACCTCTTTATAGTCGCTAGCGACAACGAGGAATTTCTTGGTCAATTACGAATCAGTCCTGCGACACCCCGAGTTCTCACGAGAAATGGCCATTTGTATTCGTGTACCCGGCTGCCACCCGAATCCCAGATATTTTTTTTTAGAAATTTTCTTTTTTCCCGATTTTCTTTATCTTTGAGCGAGTCAATTTGGACGTGAGACCAGAGATGTGTTTATTTTATTTTATTTTTTTGGGGGGGGTGCTTTACGGACAGTAAAGGCATTGTTATGCGTGGAGTTGATGAAAGGTTCTCGGCCAGACAAAGAAGGAAACCCGAAATAAATTCTTATAGTGTTCGGTTATTTGGTCAGATTTAATGAAGTGGGTCGAATCGAAAACTTTTCAGCACCTCCGCACAGTAATAATTTTTTTTTCTTTTTTTTTTTGCATATCACCGCCATATTTTCATCTATCGCAATTTCTCTATGTCTGTTCTTTATCTATATTGTCTTTGAATCTCTCTCTCTCTCTCTCTCTCTCTCTCTCTCTCTCTCTCTCTCTCTCTCTCTCTCTCTCTAATTGCCTATCCTGGTCTCTTCGTATCTATCTATCTATCTATGTCTGTTTTTTATCTACCTGTTTCTTCGTCTGTCTTTTTCCCTCTCTCCCCCTCCCTCTCTCTCTCTCTTTCTGATTGTCTATCTCCGTCTGTTCGTATCTATCTATGTTCTTTTTCTGTCTCTTCGTCTTTCTCTGTTCCCTCTCTCTCCCTCTCTATCTCTCTCTCTCTCTCTCTAATTGCCTATTCTCTTCGTATCTATCAATCTACCTCAGTCTTCTCACATATATATATATATATATATATATATATATATATATATGATCTCTTGTGACCTTTTGTCAGATTAAGTGCACATATAGGGCACCTGCCTTAGTATGATGATTAGCAAGCTCATCTCAGAGGTCATGGTGAGTTTTGTGTTTTAATGGGTGCTCAGTTTTGATGGCCCTTTACCAGATTATGTCATGCTTAGTAAAGGCCTGTACGCATAAGCTTATATAAGCTGGCAATCTGCAACACACACACACTTCAAATACAAATTTATTTTTAAAAAAAAGGGAGTCGACAGTAGTCGGGATCTTCGAGTCAATGTGAAAGATCCTTTCCTTAGCTGCATATTATGTGCTTCGCCAGGGTTACATACTGTATGAAGTCAGAGATTTCCTTCTCCTAGATCGGTTACCACCCAAGGCTATAGAACCCAGTCTGTTATACTTTTTCCGCATAGCTCGGAGAAAGAAGAGATGGACTTATATCTTTCCCAAGGTTATTATTATGTATACATTTATAAAATAATAGATATAAATATGTAGAATGTCGTTTTGTTTCACTTTACCCTCACTCTTTAACTTTTCCACGATTTTTCCTCTTTTCTTTCAATTGTAGTAATTTTGACTTTCGGTTTTCTAGACGTATATTGTCGTTATTAATACTTAAACGTTTTGGTGCTTCCTTCAGTTAGGTGTATTTAGGCAGCAGTAATTCTTTCAAACTACTTTTATTAAATAATACCGTCTATTTGTACAATTTTAATATATTTTCTAATTTCCAACTAAGAAATTATGTAAGAATTAACTTTCTAGGGAACATTTATTGCTTCCACCCGAGTACTTTCGACAGAGTAGTTTGACCATTGTAGATGATGTCGCATTTAAGTAACTTGAAAACACCTGAAAATTTCCTAAACACGCAATCCTAAATTTTTTTTAGAAAATTAATATTACCCCATGCAAGGCAGTAAAGCCACTAAGATAGAAAGCCTTACAGGGTGTGTAAGAATTAGGAACAGAAACATTAAGGATGAGCGGGAAGAGGAAAGAGAAATCAGGAGGACAGTAGATAGCAATTGACATTGCATTTAAATTTTTGCAGATTAAAGTTGGCTGGAAAGCATGGAGCCAGAAGGGAGTTCCACAAGAAAGGCAGTAAAGCCACTAAGACACAAGTGGTTACAGGGTGTGGAAGAATTAGGAACAGAAACATTAATGATGAGCGGGAAGAAAAAAAAGTAGTCAGGAGGACAGTAGATAACGATTGATGTTGGATTTAAATTTTTACAGATTAAAGTTGATTGGAAAGCATGAAGGTAGACAGGAGTTCCACAAGCGAGAAGTGTGAGAAAAGAAATTGTTAGCATAGAATTTAAGGTTACATCCATCCAGCTCAACAGTAAATTGATGAGATCCTGACGCCAGTCTAGTGCTGCGCTTAAATTCAAAATATCTAGGAACCATAGCGAAGAGCGATATTTATTCTGTTTATAATACAGAAATGTGGCACAAGGCCGAAAAGGGGATTGGGGAAAGGACGGTCTTCTTCTGTCTTAACTATAACTTAGCTAGCCGCAAGCACTGACCCAAACGTACGAAACAATATTCCTTACACCAAAACAACACATTCATTCGTACCTTTCTTACTACAACCACCATAATACCTCTTTGTCTCTATGAAAATACTAACTAGTCCCCATATTTACAATTCGTGGTCTGTGGGGGGGAAGGGAATAAAACAACAATTCTAAAAATTAACCCCAATGAGTATTTACAATATGCATATAAAAAACTATTTACAAGAAACTAAAGAAAATAAGATTAGTAATAAAACCCCCCACACGATACTTGATAACGATTATAGTAACAGTCGAATGTACTCGGAAGGTTCCAACAAATGCACGTTCTTTATTACACGATTTATATAAACTAGTGAAAATTTCACGATTTTTCTATTTGAATTTTCTGATGAATCTTAATTTTTAAGTTAATAATTGAATAAGCTCCTGGCAAGTTGTACGACAATAAAATATCCGGAGAAATTCCCCTATCGCATCTTTAAATATTTAAGCTTAAGAACTTTACCAAAATATTGAATTAACAATCAAAAATATGAATGCTGGTCGTTATTTTAAGAAGTAAGGGGGTACAAATGATAAGATTTAATAATTGACAATATTTTTTACATTTCATTGAAACAGACGTTAAACACTTCCATCTTCTCTTTCTTTCTTTCTTTCATTCTTTCTTTCTTTCTTTCTTTCTTTCATTCATTTTCTCACTGAAACCAAGTAGTGTCTTTTCCCTTTTTTCCACGCGAACAAAAACGGAATAGTCCACTATTTATGAGGTATTGGCAGGAGAGGTTAAACACTTCTATCTTCCCTTCTTTCTTTCTTTCTTTCTTTATTTATTTGTTTGTTCATTTCGTTCTTCATTTCATTTAAAAATAATGGAAGCACTCATAATAAAAAAAAGGCCGACACTCAGTACGAAAACAGCCACAATGTGCTGACCGTGTTTGAAAAATAAAAACAAAACATCCCTATCACTCTAGTAACGTATATAAAAATCTATAGATTAAGTTAAAAAAATACATCCTTAATAATGGCTAATGGAATAACCGAAAGCGCTCGAACATTCGGACAGATTTTAAACATTTAAGGTCCAGAAAAGAAAACATCTGTAAGAACGCAAGAAAAAATAAATAAAAATTTTAATCGCAGTATCTTGTCAGTTTTTAATAAAACTTATATATATATATATATATATATATATATATATATATATATATATATATATATATATATATATATAGGGGGGGCGATGGTTGTTTGTGTCAAATATATAAAATAGGAAAGAACATGCGTGTGTGTGTGTGTGCGTGTGTGTGCGTGTGTCTCTGTGTGTGTGTGTGTGTGTGTGCGTGTGTGTGCGTGTGTGTCTGTGTGTGTGCGTGTGTGTGTGTGTGTGTGTGTGCGTGTGTGTCTGTG